GGGGAAGCCCGGGAGTGGCCATCACTTTTATTACACAAATATAATCATTGTTCCAAAGAGTTCATGTATGCCAACTTTTTACCATAAAATTGGACACAAACAAAAAGGGGTAGAAAGCAAATGATAAGAAAAACGAAGTAGATGTTTAGACAGAAGAGAGTTTTTGTTTGTTTTTGTTTTATATGAGGAAGTGATGGGGGACATTGATGTTATTGCTAAGAAAAAAACAAAAAACGTGGCCTACGCATAGATAACTGTATCTCCTAAAATCGGGAGATAGCCTGGTGTAGCTTGCAAGGACATGAGCTTTAGAATCAGACAAACCCAGATTTAGAATTTGGTTCAAGCTTTTTAATCCCAAGCAAGTTACTCAACTCTTAATTCCGAACAAGATATTATTTACCTTATTTGGTTGTAATAAGCATTAAATTCAAAGAAAAAAAGTGTAAAACTATTATCCCAATGTCTGGTGCATAGCCAGTATTTAATAAATAGTATTAGATTAGCTTAGGAGTACTAAAAATAAGAAAACGTAAATGCTGAGTTGTTGGGGTTATTATTGATGTTGTTATTAGTTTGTTTTTGTAAAAGAGAATAATAGAAAATTATTCTGAGTTCTGAAAGGAAGATTCCTATATCAGTCAGTACTAACAATAGTGAGAAAAATTTAGAGGAAGATAAGCAGGAGACGATATGAGGATCATTTTGTTATAATGAAAAGGGCCTGATCTGGAATTTACAAAACTTGGGTTTGAGAGGTGCTCCTCTATTTACAGGTTGTATGACCTTGAGGAAGTCACTTAATCTAACTTTTCATATTTATAAGATGGGAATTAAATTAAGTGCCACCTTCAATGTGCATATGATTTTGAATATTATGCATAATACTGTACACTTTACCATAAAAACATAACAGGGTATAAAAATGTTTTTAAAAGTTTAAAACCCTAAATAATGTAAAATGGTGCTGAGGTAACTGCTAATAGTTAAAATTTATTCTTTATTGAAGTTCATTATTAAAGGTGGAAAATTATTCTCTCAAAAGAAAGTGGGATATTGAGTTACCAAATCTGGATGAGAATAAGATTAGTTATGGAGTGGTGAAGTCAGAATTTATGAGAAGAAAAGAGATCGATATTAGCAACATGTTCCCCATACTTCTGGAGGCATATTCATGATGTTTGTCCCCCAAATGATCCTAATATTCTTTTATAATGACTTTGGCAATATTTTAACAGAATTAGACATTTGAGTTTCCCCTGGCATTTCCTTTTGTCCCCATTAAATCAGTATACACATTAAATAGCTCCTGATTGAAATAAGTTATAATGATATCATGTGAATCTATTTCTTTAAAATTTCCAAGTTATAGAACAAGAAATTAACAATATGAAAAAAAGGTTTGAGAAAAAGTAAGTAGAAATCATATTAATAAAAAAAATTAATCAAGGCCTTCCTAATATTATGATCCATGGCTTTAGATTATTATGGTTTTTATTAATAATAGTTTATATCAATAAATTGAAATGTTACATCTAAATGTTAAATCTATTAGAGGTTTTTAAAAAGTTAGCATCCTACCTATGTTGAGTATGTACCTTTGTATGGTGTGCAGTAATGTCACCAGACAAAAGGAAACAAGAAAGTCCTTCACAGCAATGACTGTTGTGCTGCTTGAAGGTCAATTGTCTTTTAAGCATGCAGAGAATTTTTATCATGTCATACTTCAGAAATATGTTTTCTGAGATGGGAAACAACAGGCCATGATTTAATGCTTTTGTTAAACCACTATAATTCTCTCAAAGCAGGATGTATCACAACTATTTCTCTTTGTTAAAGAGAAAATCAACTCCTTCAAGAAAATTTCTTATTCTGCAAGTGGAGAGGAAATGAAGAATCACCTATTATTTTGTTGTTGTTGTTATTGTTGTTGTTGTTAGTATACCACAAGACATTTACATCATAAAAGCAAGCTGCTGTTGTCAGTTTTTTAATGGACCAAGCAGACAGGAAGCTGCCTCCACCCTAAGAGGCTTAGAGACCTAGCAACTGAGTTAGACAGCAGGTGCCCAGGCCAATCAAGTCAATTTTCTAACACAGAATTGCATGTCCTGGAACTTTTTCTATTTGTCTTTTTTCTCTGTAAAAGAAGCAATGATGTCTCTGTGAGGAAGCAGTGCTGCTATTTCTAGTCCGAGGGAAAAATGGGACAGAATTTCATAACAATTCAAACAGCAAAATATCTTTTTAAAAATAGATTATCTACACTTATAGGAGGAATTTCAAGAAAGCATCCAATGAAGAAAAGCTAGCTCTGAACTGCCTATACACATGTGCATTAATGTCCAGTAAATAAATGATTATGTGCACTACATCTTTTCTTTCCCAGAAATAGCAACTAAGAAACAGGTTGTTTTTTGTTTGTTTTTTTTAATCAACAATACAAAAGTCTCACTAAATATTTTACACTTGGAGACCTTTAGAATTTTACTTCTTTTGTTGTTGTTGTTGGTAGTGGTGTTAAAAAGTCACAATAGCCAAGAGGAGTAATGTATTTTCTTTTAAATTAAAAAATGCCACGTGGTTAAGGGTGGGGTGGGGGGGTGCAGGGAAAGCAGTTGGCAAGAAAAGGTTCAGGGCCTGTTGCAAAACCAACTGCAAGCCAAGTATGATTCCAGACAGACAAGAACCACCTGTTACAATACAGAGAGGGGGGGGGGGGGAGAGTGAGAGAGAGAGATTGAGATTTAAAAGATGAAATGAGAAGGAGGTGACCTTAAGGATCATTTTTCCAATTATCCTACAAGCAAATAAGGGAATGTGCAGATGTTTATATGAGACATATGTGAATGCAATATTTGCCACATGTTATTATTCTATGTAAGAAGACATTATATATTTCTAGTCAATCAAAAAATTTTTGAAAAGTAGATGGCTTATGTGATTAGTTAATAGCAATAACTACCTGGGCACTTACCTAGTGTTTTATTTACTCATTGCAACAACCTTGTTGTTTTAGAGGGTGTGTAGCAGATGAGAAAACTGATACACACAAAGTACCATGCTCAAGGTCACACATTTAGAGTCAAGATTCACTTAAGTAGTTGGGCTCCCAAATCCATGCTTTTAAAAATTCGGCTGTACTGTGCATGACACAAATGTATGTCCAAGTCTGAAAAACTTTACTTTTTGGACTTGAAAAGCAAATCCAAGAAACCTCCTAAACAGCTTAAAGTCCATTAGCAGTTGCCAAGACCCTGATGAACATTGGTGTGCAGTTAGAAAAGACAGAAATTCATTTTCACAGAATGAATTACTTAGGAGAAAATGAACGATTTTGCTTAGCCTATGCAAAATCAGAAATCTGAGTCAACTTTGTCTCAAAATGGAATAAACAATGTTTCCTTAGAACACACTTTAAACATTCTTCTTAGTAACAATGTGACACATAGAAAGAGTTCTCTTTATAACCTTTTTTCAAAGAGGAAATATTCCGATTTCATAAAACTAGCAAAAGACTCTACCTATAAGGAAATTGCAGACACACAAAAAATGGGATACAGGAAATAATTTGTGTTGGCTTAAGAGGGTCACCATGTAGTGGTCCTATAACAGATGTGCCTAAAATAAGTATTTAAAACTTGAATGTCAGTGACGCGAAAACGTCTTTAAGATAGAGGGCGAATCTCAAAAATTGCTATTCGATATAACTCACATGGGCTTTGTTCTTTATCTCATTTTTAAATAAAAATTATGATTAGAAAAAGGAACATTAAAAAGAGAAATAGAAGTACTCGGCAACAGAAAAGAGCCAACTTCCAAAGGACGGGCATAGTTATCGAGCCCGGAACATCAGGGAAAAATCGAGCGTCCGTCCTTAGGAATTTAATCCTTTATGGGTCGATGTCTTCGTTTCTTAACTATACGGTGGAATTTTTTTTTTTACAATAGAGGTTCTTATAGAAGTACACTTAAGCATTTGACAGTGCAGGCTTATTTCTTACGACCCAATCTAGCCAGAAGTAGAGTCACTGAGAAATTCCTCTTGGATCTGTGAGAATCCCTCTTCTTCTCAGCCCACGTGGCAAAGTAAACAGAAGGTGGGCCGGGGCGGGGAGTAGCAGGACTTAGTCAGTTTCCTAATTTGTCGAGTCTTTAAAACTACAGGCCCTTAATGCACTAAAGACATGCCCTCGGCGAAACGGGGAGGGGGGGTACTTCTGCTCGGCAAGATTAAAGTGACAGTGTGGAGAGGATGCCAAAACCCGGAGGACCGAGAACCTACCAGGGGATGGGGGTGCCGGCCTTTGCGGGATGAGGTGGGTGCGCGCGAGCGTGTGCTGGGAAGCCCGCAAGGAGGTGAGCGCAAGGGATAGTGCGAGGGTGCCGGACGGCGCTGGGCGCGCGCGGGGGCGAGGGGTGTGCAGATGCCTCTAAGGGGGTGGTGGAGTGAGGTACCGACAAAAAGTTTAAAAGGTTAACTTGGGGTCTCGCATCCTCGTGCCAGGCACCCACGCTACCTCCCCCCTGCGCGCCTGCCCCGCGCCTTCCCCGGGGTGGAGACGCGTCCGAGGGTCCTGGGTGCCCCGGGTCTGGCCGCGGTGCCCAGGGACCAGACCTTCCCCCACGCCCGCCCTCGCCCCGCGCTCAGCCCGGCGCGCCGCTCCCCCCGCGCCGCTCCCCCCGCTGCGCTCGCTGCACCGCGCGAGGGCAACCCGGCCAGGACCGCGCGCCCCAGTGTCCGGCGCCCGCGTGCCGCGGCCTTGGTGCGGGACGCCCCGCCTAGGGGGTGACTCCCTGGGAGCGGGGGCACAGGGCCTCAGGGCGGCGGCGGAGGCCGGGCGGAGGAGGCGGAATCCGGGCGGAGGAGGAGGAGGCGGAGGCCGGGCGGCGGCGTTGGAGAGGCGGCAGAGGAGGAGAGCTCGGCGGCCGCCGCCTCCCCGCGAGCGCCGCGCGCCCAGGGCCGGCTGGCATGCGAGTCACGTCCGCCCCCTCGGCGCGGCCGCCCCGAGACGCCAGCCCCGCCGAGTGATGAGAACAGACGTCAAACTGCCTTATGAATATTGATGCGGAGGCTAGGCTGCTTTCGTAGAGAAGCAGAAGGAAGCAAGATGGCTGCCCTTTAGGATTTGTTAGAAAGGAGACCCGACTGCAACTGCTGCATTGCTACAAGGCTGCGGGACGAGAACGAGGTCAGAGCGCTTGCCTTTGCCGCGAAACTCTCCCTTTCCTCTCCCCTTTGCTTTCTCTCGGGCTTCCAGGGACGGGGGAGCTCACCCTGCAGTGTCACCCACAAATACCAAGAGGGAAGAGGGAAGCTTCACAAATTACTGGAGCCTCTTCAACATGGCTGACAAATATAGTTTTAATTCCCCCCCACCCCCCTTTAAACCTATAGTTCTGTGTTCTCTTCTCTCTCCGGCTCTGGCTCTTCTCCTCCGAACCCGGAAAAGTTACCTTTGTGACTCCGAGCCGCGGGTTTTCCACGGGAAAGTGATTTTTTCTTTGCTTTCCTTTCTAAAATAGTTCAGCTTTGGGGGCCACTACATTTCCCAGTGATCCTCCCACTCCCCTGCTTTCCTGTAAGTCCAAGGAGTCTCGGGGCTGTCCTCACCCACCCCGGAAAGAACACTGACGGGGGTTTTGACCCTTTTATCGGCTGTCGCCCAGGGTCTGGGTCTGGGTCTGGGTCTGGGTCTGGGTCTGCATTCGCCTCATCTACCCCGTGCCCCCTTTGGGCTTTGGGCGAATGTCACAGGGAGTGAAACTGGAGTCCACTAAGTGGGGTTCTGGCTTTTCCCCCCCTTAAGTCCGCGCGTTTTGTTAGTGGCGCCGAGTGAGGCAAGAATAGTTTCTCTGGTCCCCCCAACAAGACGAGAGCCCACTTTCTCAAGACACATCAGCTCTGCAATGGGCTGTGCCCTGCAGCCTGGGGAGTGTGTGTGAGAGAATTTGTGGGCAAATCTGTGTCCTGGCTTTGTGCTTCTCCCGAATCCGCTCCGCTGGGCTCCCTGCTAAGTGACAGGCAGACACAAAGGCAGGCGCAGGCCCGGGGAGGGGGCAGACGGGAGGGGGAGCCTGGAGAGTTGGAAGACTGCAAGGTCAGGGGCGCCGAAAGAAATGAAACCCAATCCCAGCAAAGAAACAGAGAAGTCGAGAGTACATTTTTAACAGTCCCGTCCAAATTTCTTTCTCTCTCGGTTGCTCTCTTTTCTTTGGTCTTTTATCTCTGCCTTTCTCTGTGTCTCTTTCCTCTTCCTCCTCCTTCTATTCCTCCTACACACACACACACACACACACACACACACACACAAACACACACACACTCGAATCTTGATGAATCTTTTCACTGGGGCTTCTTGTCTAGTGTTATTAAACTAACAGAGTTTCTATGGAGAGTTTTCTACCTATGGCAAAATAAAGTGTGGCCTGGATAGACTCCCGGGGAAGGTTATGTTATTCGCGGGCTATTGCCTTCATGACATACTTTTAATTGCATTGAGTGATCACCCCCCCCCCCCCCCCACCCCGCCCCTTCATCTAGTGTTTAGGAACTGAAAGAAGGGTTATTTTCCCGTTGTTTGCTTAAAATTTAGTGAATTTTTTTTTATATTTGTTTGTCTAGGGAGTTGGATACATATATGAACTTAAAATCTCAAATCACATATTGTAATTTTTCTTCTCCAGTCCACACTAATAATGCCAAATAAAAAAAAAAGAAATCATCATCAACAAATGATCTATAAAAGTAAGATGGTATCTTAGGGGAAGTTGAGATGTATAAGGAAAAGATGTCGATTTTGTTTGGTTTAAGGTTGTAAATATTGTTGCCTGGCCAATGAAATCATATTTGCATTTTAATGGAAAGTTGAAATACTGGAAGGGCATTATATTCTTTTACATGTTTGCATGTGTGTTTCAAAGTAGGTTTGAGAAAGAATATAAATTTCAACACAGTAAATATTAGTCGCTTTAATGTTATTAAGCAGAGAGGTGTCAGTGAAGGATTGGACAGTCAAGCTTAAGTTTATAAGGCATGTGTATGATTAAAAGATGAGCAAAAGAAAAGCACAATAATAGACATTACTCCATAAATAAAATTTTTTGAACCATTTTACCTCAATAGTTCATTTTGTAACTCGTTGTATTTTGATCTCTGAAAAAGCAGTTAAGTTTACTTTAACCATTGATACTAGAGGTTATTTCACATGAACAAGGGTTCAGAAGTATTTCTCATCTCTGTGGTATAGAAATAGCTCAATTGGTTAGTTATTTCTCATAAAACATTTAAAAGAAAAAAAACAGGAATTTAGCATAAATGCTTACTATTAACTGAGAAAACTATGGTTAATTATTTCAGCAATTCAGAATTAAAAATAAACACTTTCTTTTGCTAATAGACTGGTATCTAACTACTTTTTGGGGACTTTTCAAATGTTGTGATATATACTGCCTTCAAGCTATTCAAATAATAATAGATATAGTATTTTCCACTCACATTGATAAGTAAGACTACCTATATTGGTTAATAATTTTGATCGTGACCATGAAGCCTTGTTTTTTCTTCTGTCATCAAATTTAGATACTTGTGTTATTTTATGCATACCATTTGCATGCTGAAAATAGCTGCTAATTAATGTTTTATGAGAGCTTCATTGATTATAAGGAGAGGTGCATATTATTCACCAACCTGAACAAAAGTACCACCTTTTCATTTATCAGAAAAGACAAAATACATGAATCGGTATGAAATAAATAGGTCATAATAAAAGACATAACCACAGTTCTTCATTTACCATATTTGTGAGAGTTAGTTCCACCTGGATGATCCAAAAAAAATTTCATAGATAGAAACTGTCTTGGGTAATTGAATTTTAGGGGAGTGATAGTGGACAACCATAAGATAGTTTTTCTTAAACTATAATATTGTTTCACTTATTTTTTAAAATTGAACTAATAGTAATGAGAAATTAACTCAGAATGAGGGATGTCCCTGTTTTGTTTAAATTTACACATTTACCAAACACTTCTTTTCTCAATGCTTTAATTAGATCTGGCATTGTGCTGGTCCATGCCAGGACCCAGAAGGATTGCTGTGATTTTGATGCAGTGGCACATGGGCCTAGACATAGGCCGGTCAATATCACTTTCAGAACAAGTGAAATGCACCTGCTGGGGACTTGTTATGACAGACTTCCAAAGTTCTGTTTGGGCACTGGACTTGTATTAGGTAATAAAAACAGGAGTTAATGTTTTGGTTTCACTTGCTGACGTTAGAATTTCTCTATCAATCTCTCCAAGGCTCCACCCATACACAATGTTGTGAGCCAAATGTCACCACTGAATGTATTTCCTTACTTGCTGACCTCATTAAAAAGCCCTTCTTATGATTCATTCACAGACACACCTAGGCAGAAACTCTGTTTTGCTTCCTGCCCTGAATCAAAATTGGTACACTCTTATGAGTTCTTATGAGGTTACCTTGAAATAAAATGTCTTCAAAAGCTATGGATGTTTGCCCAGCTGGTGTGGCTCAGTGGATTGAGCATCATCCCATGGACTGAGAGGTCCCGGTTCTATTCCAGGTCAGGGCACAGGCGTGGGTTGTGGCTCTACACCGAGTGAGGGAGCATGCAGGAGGCAGCTGATAGGATAGATGTTTCTCTCACACATCAATGTTTTTATCTCTCTCTCTCTCTTCCTCTCTCTCTAGAAAAATCAATAAAAACACATATATAAAAAAAGCTATAGATGTTTGACATTCTAGAATGTCTAATACTTAGAAGTACTAGTTCTGCTTTTTTATGCTCTAATTGCTTCTACTGCAAGTTCAACTGTTACTATTGCTGATTAATAGAATTTAATAGTCTTACCTAGCATCTCAAATTACTAGATGGAGTTTTCTTTGGTTTATAAGCACCATGTAGATGATTGTACTGTAATTGTTTTCTATCATGAGGACAGGTTAAAATGCTGAACCAGTGGCTAGGGTTGGCTCCTCAAAATAACATTTTGCCACCATTTCACAGTATTTTTAAAAGTAGTAATGGCACCAAAGCCAGTGGCAGGAAAATATCTCACAAGCCAACTTTACAATGGGAGTCTTAACTGTGGGAAACTCAGGTTGCCAAGTAGAGCTGGTGGTTATCTTGGAAACTGTGTTGAAGAACACAACCACAAATGATTTTGCCAAATATACAGTATTTCCTTGGTCTGGGTCTCCAATTTCTATTTTAACTCATTGCAAAAGCATAGCAAATACTGTGACATAATTTTAGGGGGTTATTGAGTATATCTGTTGACTTGGTATATAGTAGGAGGGAAGAGTTCCTGAAGTGGAGGGGGTAAAGTGAGCACTTGAATCATTGTGACTGCAAGCCCAAAATAATTGTATCTATCTACTTATTTCCAGCATTATTCTGATCCTACACTGTACGTTGCTGAAAATCATGACTTAAGATAGATATATAATCTTTTCTCAATAAAGTGAATTTTGGTTGCCCATTCCAAAATAGAAAATTTTTATCAGCTTCGATGTATGCTTTCTCCACTTATCATGAAATGCAGTAAATGTGCCAGATTTCAAGAAGGAGAAATAGATAGTAGGTGAATTTTTAATATTTTGTTTAAAAATAAATTTATTGATAATGTCAACCTGTCTGCAGTCTTAAGAATGTAGAGCTTAGTATTTTATACTAAGGGTTGTTACTCAAACTGACTTGAAATCAAGCTCCAAATAATCTGAGAATTTAATTAAAAGATGAATAAATTGGGATGAAGTGTTTTTGAAAGACAGGTTAGGACATAAAATGAACTGGTTGCGTCACTGAAACTACTATAAGGGTTTCTGTTAAATGAGATTTATATCTATTGAGATACAGTATGAAATCTGATTTCTATGTCTTTTTATTTCCTAATAGAACCTAATGGTATCCTACTCAGTCAAGATTTAATGAATGAGAGGGGTGTGGAGAGTGGTATAAGGGTTGTCAGAGGGTATCAGCTTCCATTTGTAAGATAAGTTCTGGGATGTCATATATAGCATGGTCATTATAGTTAACAATATGGTGCATATTTAAAACTTGGCCCTGGACAATGTGTCTCAGTCAGTAGGAGCATCGTCCCATGCACTGAGTGGGTCAACGGTTGGATTCCAGGTCAAGGCACATGCCCAGGTTTCTAGCTTAATCCC